TGAACTGTAAAAAATCGGGAAAAAAGAGCAGATAGAAATTAATTAGTTTGTTTGCCCCAACCTCCGTGCATTCTAGGAAAATCAACAGAATTAGGAAAATCTGCGGAAGGGACAAGACACCGATCGATTTTGTCGAAACCGCCCAACAAGCACAGGGTCTTTGTGGCCATGTAGTGGCTCTACGAAACCTTTCATATCATGTTGAAGGGGCACAGACGCGCAATTTGGTTTCTTGACCACAAACGCGCAATTCGGTTTTCTTGCGCAGTTCTGTAGAAAACAAAGAAAGGGTGGTATGTTTTGCGGAGTCATGACAAACCAGGTGATAAAAGCGTTGTTCCTTGCTTGGACAAAAGCTTCTAGTGTTTTTGCTCACGCTTTCGTTTCCTCAGAGGTATAGACATGCATGAACGCAAGAAAGTAAAAAGCAAGGATTGCAAATATTCGAACCGCCAACCTGATGTTCACCCCATTTTGGCATTCAGTGAAGCGCAAATTAGAAATAGTTTCAATTCCACTGGTAAGATTTACGTGTATCTCCCCACGATAAGAACAAGGATGCAGCTTCGGGATGGAAGGAATCGTCATTCGAGTACAATCTTTTCCCTAAATTTATTCGTCCGGTACGACTATCTCCTACACCCTACCTCACATTGTAGGTTTTCTCGACTTCCTACTACCGCTTTTCAAAGTCTTCATAGATTTCTCCAATTTTCGGGGAAAATGCTGCCGTGAAGGGCGGATTGTCACAAAAGAACTCCTAGTTTCACCTACTGAAAATAGTATCTGCATGGGACTCAAAAATGAGAGGGATGCATTCCCACGAGACGGGAAAACCGCGAAAAGTCAACAACCGCATAAGATTCCTTCGCAGTTCGGAAAAGTCTGACGACCCACCATTATAGGATCCTCCCAACGTGCTGTGCTCTGTATGCATTTACCGTTTTGGAGAAACATCCCATCTGCTAGAGACCCCCTTGTGAGTACAGAACCGAAGGAATCGATTTCCGCCTACTCCTCTCTTGTGGATTCTCCCAATTCACCAGCTCGGCGCTCGCTACTAACAAGGGTTAACCAAAGCGTCGAACCAGATTCATTTTCTACCAATCTCAAAGGCTAGAAGATGCAGCAGAGATTCCGCCGTCCTCCCACCCCTCCCGCTCCCCTTTTTTGGTGCACATTCACTGTAAGACACTGTTCACAGTCTGAGACCCTGACGAAACGGCGGTTCGGCGAAAAGCAAAATAATACTCACTGATCGGAGAATCGCCAACCGCCCCGTTTCGCCGAACCGCCGCGGTTCACTTCAGCCGGTTGGGTTAATAATACCGCAGGTTAGATTTCGCAGGCTCCGCCCTTGAGAAAAACGCCAGGGTGGTCGGCCTAGCGCTTTTCGCCCAACCCTTCGTCGAACCGCCCGTCGATACGTATCAAAGCCATTTCGCCGAACCGACACCGATACGTATCGAAAGCTTTCCGCTGAGCGTTTCTTTCCAGAGAAACGCTGAGCCACAGACTGTGAAAAATGCCTAAGTGGCGGGGAGTTCGGTACAGGGGGAGGATATTTTACATTTTTGCTACTTCCTATCGACATGTCGAGCCATTTAGAGAGCTATTTCGTGAGCTTACAAGAGTTGACAGGTTTTACCATGGTGGCTCGACGAGCTTGCTCCAGCTTCACAAGAGTTCACAGGTTTCACCAGAGTGAGACTTGTAAACCGGAACTAGTGAAGCAACGAAAGTACAAAATGTCCCACCCTGTCACCGAACTGCGCCGTAAGTAGCTTTCTAATACGTTATTAGACTTTTAGCGGCCATGAAAGAAATTGAAACCAATTTTAATGCTTCATGCTAAAGGCCTATGAATGTTTCAGGCTAATGAATGAAATGAGTTCAACTCACACGAGTACGTTTGCCGTCCTTCCCCTGGTTGACAGCAGTCGAGGTGGTCGACATGGTCGTTGTAGAAGCTCCACGACGACGGGGTTAGTGGACGGGCGGTTACGATTTACCACTTTTTCCCTTAAAATATGAAACAAACTACTAATTGCACTAACTGACGTGACATACTAGAACCTAGATCGAGGTATGCTGTTGTTAGGATGGAGCCCCAATACATCAAGCCTCGCGAAAGTACACAAAAAAAAATTCGGCTGAGCGAAGGGATACGAAACGCGCGCCACGGTAACCTCACACTGTCCGACGGAACCTATACATTGCATTACTTTCTAGTGCTCTTTGTTGAATTTCGTTCCTCTCCCATCGATGCACACGATACAATGAGGATCTCCAACGGGAGGGGGGAGCGTATTTGGTCGGTGCACGAAGGGAAGTCGTTTTTGTTTTCGGTTGTTGACATTTCTCAGTTTTTCCCGTTTCACGTGCATTGCATCCCCATTCCCGCTGCTCGATGGCAAATCCAGAACTGTAGAATTTTGGCAAAAAAAAACTCTGGAAAAGAGGTGAGAAGCGGGAAGAGTTAGGGAAGATTGTAGGTATGGTGGTAGTGAAGAACGAGGGTCGTACCAGAGGACCGACTTCTGAAGGGTTGTACTTTGCAAAACTCTTCCTCAAAGGGGACGTGTCCCGTCTCCTATTACGATCACTCGAACTCCAAGAAACCCTTGCTAATATAACGAGCAAACCCATCCAAACGTAAGCGCTTTGGCATTCATTTTAAAGAAATTCTAACAACGCAGAAAGCACGATCCAGCTAGATCTTGAACAACTAGCAGCTTGAAATGGATTTCAGAGTGACTTTAAAGCGCAGTGAACAATGAATTGTAGCTCAGTACCGTTATTCTGGGCTCTAGCCGTTATAAGTAGAAACAACTTCAAAGAAAACCCTTCGCAATGACGCCACAACATGTGACATTGGATGCATTTTCAACGATGAATGTTCAGATAACTGAAATGAACGAACATCCCCTAACCGCTTGCCCGCAAACACTCTCCTTTGGAAGGAGAAGTGAGAAATCGCGCTCCAGTCCATACTGCATGCGTCCATGACTTCTCTGCATGTCTGGCCCTTCAAATTGTCACACTCACTCCTGCAGTCACTCGTTGTCTGCTCCCATCCCGCGTCTTCTATTGAAAAATTGCCAACGAGTACGAAAAGCACAACAGCTGTTGTTTGATCACTTATCAGTTTATCATACCTGTTCTCTTTCGCGTATCACTCTTTTGTTTCAGAACAAGAATGGGAACACGAGTTGATGGATGGCCGAGCGCTGGAGGTACAGCTCTGAGAAGCTCAATCCCAACCCAGGTTCCCAACACTCTCGCCACAATTCCTCTGCATCGCTCCATTAACTTGTAAGCTTGCGTTTGTATTTCTGGTCGTAATTATTACAGATTTTTCCTATAGTTATATTTACCCAGTCCAATCTCGTTAGAGGCCGTGCTTCTGCTCAAACTTTATTGTATTTGGTCGAGTTCCATACAGAAGCGCTCATTAAGAAATTTACCTGTGAGGAAATGAGCGGTAGGGAGAAGTACAGTCGCTCTCAACCGTCAGTCCATGAATGGGGTTTACTCCTAGTAATGATGTATGATCTACTTAAGATCAGTTTTATCAGAGGTGATACTACCAGGACAACCAGTCAGCATTCTCGGCTAAATTCTGTTGTTTAAGCAATCAGCAGGCGTATAAGTCTGCAGCTTGATGAAATTTTTTCAATTAGAAGATGCTATAGATAATTGTTACAGATCTTTATATAGGTAATATTTAGTGGAAGTTAGTTTTCTTTCGAAAATCTGCGACGGCCGTGCAGATCAGCAATGACATTTGGTCCATACATTATGGGCTACACTCACCAATATAGGCATCAGTCTAATTGAGTAGGTGGGCCCCAACATACTGACACCGAAACTCACACC